GTATTACAAGCCAGCGGTGTGCTAATTAATATGGAAACAATTCCACATCTTATCCCGCCGCTAAGATTCTGAAGTGTCGCATATTTGCCGTTTTTTTATAGTAAATATATGAGATCAAAATAACATCTCTCGGGAGTGTAAGTGTTCATGTATTGATAATTGGCTTCTTTTGTAGCCACGAATGCCATCATTTTCAGTAAAATAAGCCCAGATTCCGCATTACCTGAAAATACAACTGAAACTGTCGCAATTTCCGGGTTTTTCTTTTTTCAGTTCGACAGAATCTCAGCCGAAAACAAAGTTGAAAATATCGTGACACGTGGGCTATCTGACGAGGAAAATATCTCCCGGGAGGTTTTTTTATGGGAAACTGGTACCTAGTTAAGTGTTACAAATGTGAAGAAAATTCGGAAAAACTCCACTGTTGGCGAGGCGTGAACCCACGATGAGTATTCAACGGTTTTATTCAATCGGCTACTGATGAGCAAGTTTTCATTTGATTTAGCAGATTCATATCAAATAATTACCATTTTGTATAAAATATCCTACGAAACCTATTCACTTAAAACAAAGTTACTGGTCAAGAGATTGCAATTCTCTCAGCAGTTTTATTATATTTAACAATTAAAAACTACAATACAACGTGCTTCATTATAAAAATATATCGGTATCATTTGATTTCCTGTATTAATTGAAACGCCAGTATGTAANAATAAAAAATTTAATTATTTATATTTTATACTATTGTATTTAAGAAAATAATAGATTTATATGAAAGATATAAATTCTGTTCTTTATATCACATGGAAAATATCTGATATAAAGAACAGTTCACAGAATTATTTAACAGTGAGTAGCAAAAATTATTTTAAACTATTATATCAATTAGAAAGTTAAGTGTATCCAAGAAATTTGGTTTATCATTAAAGAAACTAGTATATTAAATTGTTATATAACTCTTGAATGATTCTTCTTGTTCTTTAACACTTCTCAAAAAATTATCATCAGCATTTTTTACATTTGGATTGCATGTAAAGGAAAAATATTTAGAACCAATTGTACAATCCAATTTGTTAATTGTTGTCCCATATAGATACAGACGACAATTTTCCAGTATTTAACACACTGATAAATACTGGATTAAATGTTTTATAGGATAGCACCTTATCTATGTTTTTTCTGTCAGAAAAAAACAATAGCACCAGGAATCAATGAAACTTTTTTATAAATAGTCTATATTGGGACTAAGAAGACAAAACCTATGGGTAGCTTATCAACCAATTCAGTTAACAAATGTTTACATTTTTTAACAAAAATTGAATATATTATAAACGTTTGAATAGATGTTCAAAAATAAATATAAAAACAAGTGGGTGAGTGAACTTAACAGAGCAAAGCCTCCCTAGTATGCGATAAAGTCAGTAAGCGATTAATGGATTGAGACCTTACAAGATCCAAATGCTATCATGTGACGCCACCACCTTTATTTTATGATTTAATTTTCATCTTGTTTAATGTTGCCTTTGTACTCTAGTATTAAAATGAATTTTTTTATTAATTTTTCAATAATTTAACATTTTATTGTATTCTTTGGAACTAGACAATTTAACTCTCTTAGTTAACTGATTTTAAAGAAAAAACTAGCTCTTTGGAAAGGAAAAATGTTTAAATTTTTAGTTCTTTTGTAGTTGCTTTCATTTTAAAAATATATATATAAACACATGTTTAGGCTGATTGCATTCCCTAGTAGAAGGCATTAAAAATATAATGCTTTTTCTATGGAAAAATCCTCAAAAACTCAGTTTTTGAGAATTTTTGGAGTTTACTGGTATTATTATAGATTTCATAATAAAATCTATAATGCTACCACCACAATAATAATATACAAACTATTCATTAGTATACACAGTAAAAAAACTTTTCTAGTTATTCCCTGAAATCTTAATGCAGATTAAAAATGGGTTCAATAGTAATTTAAATTAAAAAAAGTAAATCTGGCTTACATTGTGAGCATTATTTATCTTTTTGATTTTTATAAAAGTTTATACAAATATTATTCAGCATATCAAATTTATAGTTAAAAAATCCAGTGAATTAAAAGATTAGATAAATGTTAGATATTTTCAAAATAAATTTTGTGCTAATTTATTTATTATTGTAACATTTTTTTTACTTACATTTAATAATATAGTATATATATATATATATAGAACNAGAATTTACTTCAAATAACAATAATTATTATTAATTCCAAAGGCAACTAAAAAAAAAAAAAGCTTAAATGTTTTAGATAGTTTCATTCAAATTTTTTAAATTAATTATATTAATGTATTTATAAATAATAGTCTAAAAGTTAAACATTTATTACAAAAATTTAATACAAAGTTTTAATGATTCTCTTAAATTTTTATTAATTTCATTTAACTATAAGCATAAACAGAAAGCTGTAGAATAAATTGATACATCAAAAACTTATATTTATTAATTCTTTAATAGAAATACTTAGTAGTTATAATTCATTTAAAAATTAAAAGTGATAAAGAATAGTGTAAAAATTACACAAACATAAGTATTTATATTCTGATTTTTGTTTCAGTTTTGGAAAATGGGGGAAAACTAACTATTGCTCAGAAAGATTATTATGATTAATCATTTCCATTAAATGATTTGATTAATGAAACATTTAAGAACAGCATTTATAATTTTACATACTTATTTTCAGATATTAGATTTTAAAAATAGTACGCAAAGACTCCAGGATCAAGACCAAAGACCAATTATGTTTAGCAGACATTTCTTAAAAATGAAATAAAATGCATTATAACAGACAATGGAGAACACTTGCTGCCCTCTGCTCAGTTCCAGAACGAAAAAAATTATGTCAACATTTGCAAATATTAGGTTTAATGTCATAATCTAATATAAAAAGTGAACTCAAGTCAGATTTTCAAATTTTGGATATATTTTATAAACAAATTAATATGAAATAAATTAAAATAAATCAATTACATTCAAAATACAGTAAATACATTTATGCCAATCACTCATAAAAAATATGAATTATTTAAAAAGTAATTGTATTAGGTTAGGTTATTAAAATAATTGCATTAACATATGCAATTATTTTAATAACCTAACCTAATCTAAAACTAACAATTTTAGTATTTAAATTATAATCATTTTTATTTCAATATTAGACATTTTTTCAATTCTTTTGATATTAAAATTATTTTATTGCATTCTTTATATCTGATTAAAAAGTAACAACCTGAAGTACATAAAATATGCAAAATTTATTGATATATAAAATATAATAAATGTTAAATCATGGACATGCATAGAGGATTACATTATCAAATGTAGTTTTAGAACAAAACACAGACAAAAAATCAGAATAAATCAAAAATTTATACTTATGTTACAGAATTATATCTATGAATTGTATGTATATACTAAATCAATGGTATAAAATCTAATAACTGCCACTCCACTAGCTTTAATCAAATTTTAAATATCAATAACGACTATTATAAAAGAGCTTCTTGTCTCGAAAATTGTTGAAACTAATATTTCAAATACCATAGTAGAGATAACAGAGACTTATCACACTGCTAATGCCATTAGCGATGTGATAAGTCTCTATTATCTCTACTGTGGTATTTGAGATATTAGTTTCATCAATAACAACTTTTTATTCATTGAAAACCAAAAAAAAAATTCAAAAATTAGAAGAAACAAATACATAGAAGTTTTAGCAGTTTTTTTTCTATAAAAAGATGTGATAGATTTTGAAAATTGAATGATTATAATCAATTATAGTGAAAATTTTTTATAAAAATAACAGCACTAACATAAAACAGGATTGCAATTATTATCCTAACCCAAAAACAAAAATCAAATTTAAAATGTGACACATCATGACATATTTCAAATTGGAATCAAGAATTGTATATATAAAATTATTTGTAATTTGAACTTTTTTCCTGTATCTTAAAAAACAAAAAATGCTTAATTCAAGAAAATTAAGTAATATGGTAATTTTTACTTTAAGTTACAGTAAAAGTAAAAATCCTTTCAACTTAAAATAACTACAGTAGCACATCAATTATTTGAATGTTCAGAATTATCTGAATAAACCGAAACATCAATTAACAGAAAGCTTTCCAGTAGGCAAATTTAAATTTCCGCTATGCTGTGGTGCTACAATCTTTGGTTATGTCTTGGGCTACTCTACTCCAATATTATTTTTGTTGGTGTGCATGTTTTAGTTGGCAGCACTGGTGCAACTGTGAGAGGGTACATAAGGACATACCAGGATTTGAACAAAATTGTACATAATCAGTTATCTGAAAAATCGATTTTCTGAACAACCCCAGTCCTCAATTGATTCAGATAATCGATGCTCTACTGTAATATGGAAATTCAGAATTGAGAAATTATATATGTAGTTTCTCAATTTCCATATTAGTTATTTTAAGTTACAAGACAAACTGTCATAAAAATCCTTTTAAGTATTTACATATAGAATGTAATGAATGATAAATTAACTTGACATATAAACTATTTAGTACTTTTGGACCTAAAAATAATATGAAGCATAAAGGAATTGAAAGTTCTTGATAAATATTATTAAAATTGTGGGTAACTCAAAGTGATGGATGTAATTCATTCTCAGTTTACATGTGCCACTTTCATTTTTCCAATGAACTATCTGATATAAACATCCAAACCTGATAGTTATATATTAAAGCCAAAGGATTGTCAAATTATATTTGGCTATATTACTATTACTATTAATTATATACTAAATAATTTGGTATTGTTTGGCAATTAGCATTTAATTAATAATAGTAGTAGTAATACAGCGTGATATAATTCAATAGTTCTTTGACTTTAACTATCTGATATTAATAAATGAGTAATAATGTACAACTTTGCAACTGTTAGAACATTTATAATTACATAACTTAACAATTTGTTTATTAAATATTACAGAATAATTTAAAATAAATCTAAATTCAATTTCAGTAGAATATAAAACTTGTACCTACCTCTCTCATACATCTATAACTATAATAACCTGGTAGACATTGACAAATTGCTAAACCAGGGCCATCATGAATACATTGTCCATTTTCAGAGCAATACACTGAAAAATATTTTGTAATTTAAATAAATTTATTTTCAATAATTTTAATTTAAATTCTTTTTATTGTATAATTATATTAACTCTTTAATAACGTGTTCGCAATGAATATAAAGACATGCAATTAATAGTAATTTTTATATCTTTGCCAAATAACTCATTTTATACATTCTATTCCATTTAAAGGTCAACAAACTTATAAGTACATATTTTAAATTTATAATTTTAAAAATATATCTAACTCATTTGCTAATAATTACAGATAAAAATTTTCATAATTGAAAAGGTTAAGTAAACAGAAGTCCACTACGCAAATAAGAAATTTTACAAGTAACAGTCTGAAAATAAAGTAAAGATTTACCAGTAATTATTAGCAATCTGCTTCAAGTAAGTTAAATATATTTTTAAGATAATAAACTACTTCATTTATTTACAAGTACATATTTACATATATAAGTATTTTTGTTTTTCTATAGAAATGTAAATACTTTTAAAATTAATATATACTCATACATAATCAATTAATTTTAAAGCCAAACAATCACCTGATTACATTGGGTTACTTTTAATTTTATTTTATGGCTTACACAAAACGAATGCCATAAAATTATCAAACAGTTGTTGATACAGTCACAAATATTTTTTAAAGCACAACAACATTTATGTAATTTAATTTTTCATAAAAAATGTCATGTAATGTTTTTATGCATGTTTATAATTTAAGACAACACAACATATGTTTTTGTTCTAGAAAAATCTTTTGTATTTTTTTTGACTGAACCAATTTCTTTCCTAAACTAATTCCTAAGGATATTGTAAATGAAACTGACTGAAGTAATATCAAAACTATCTTTCAGACATTTTTTACTCTAAATCAACTTTAACACCAGAAAAAGGTCACTTGAAGATTTAAGTTTTTCCATGTCTTTTAATATTGAAGAAATATGAAAATATCTAGCATACCAATTTTTTCTAGCATGTCTTTGATTTCGAATTTCAATAGCTTAATCTAATGTGTTAGATTTAATAAACAAAGAAAATTTTATTTTAACAGAATAAACATGACTCTTATATATCAAAAAACAAAATACGATAAGATGATTTGATATAAAACTTTACTTGACAAATAAGATTGCTATTTATGATTAATAAAAAAATCATATGACTAAACATGAAAAGAATGTTTGTAAAGAGTCAATTCCAAACTGTTCTATTTTGTTTTGGGATTATTTTTAGTTCATTATTCTATTTATTTTAGGGTGTTTTATTTTGTTAAGGATAGACTACCGCACTTCCCTGGACAAAATTATAATATTGTAATCAAACACTATGAAAGGAAGATAAATGACAAGTTTTTATATAAAACTATTAAATGATAGCTTAATAAGACAAAAATATTTATATTTTAAATTATTCTATTTTTTTTCATTTAAAAATCTTGTCCGAGTTGTAAAAATGTGCAGTAGCAAAGACCAGTCTATTTACTTAGTAAAGGGAACATTGGGTGTTGAATATGTGACTATTTTTGGTAATACACAGTGATACCTTTTTGGTATTACAAAAAAGTTACTCTTGAACTTCATAAAACTTCCAGAGCCACAATTGAGTACCATGCATTGCCCAGTTAAGATATATCAAATGATCTGTACATTTATTGGTAATAAAGAACATACTGTATTTATATAATTTCATAAATCATATAGTTGCAAGGATTATTTACATATTGAAATGATAATGGTCAAACAAACAATTTTGGGTTTTATCCTTTTTTAAATTCCAGCCAGAGACAGATGGTAGAGCAACTTGAAGATAAACAATTCTTCATAAAAATGACCAACAATATGACATTAAAAGCATACTTTATACACTTGATGCAGACCTTTTATTGTAGGATCCAACACCAATAACACATAGTATTAAAAGTTTTCACAATATCAATCTGATCAGAGTTGCATTTAAACACCACTCTGAAGTCCTGTGATGGAAATTGGAGAATTAAACAATATTTACATAAAAGACAAGGAAAAAAGATTAAAAAAGTTAATTAACCAAAAATTGTTTGTTTGGTCATTGTTACTTGAAAGAAATATATTTATGTTAAAACAACAATTTTCAATTTCTTTTTCTATATTTATATATAGATTAATTTAAGCTATAATTAAAATTAATTTAAAATAAATCAAAAATTAATACCATCACAAGTAGCATTTTGTCCTTTACAATAATTTCCTTCTTCTGTATCATTCCAGGCAGAAACATTTCCAGGACATTCACACTTTGATGGCAAATACCTTAAAAAATAAATAAATAAAGTAATAATAATATTTTTAAATTCCTTAATTAAAAAATGACTCCTACATTAAAAGTTGATACTTACAATAAAGTGAGATTTACGAGTCCTTTAAAATATTCTTTAGAACAATTCTGTATTGGATTATCAGATAAATCTCTGAAAAATTATTAAAAGTTTAGAATATTTATAATTTAATATAGATTTCATAACAATAAATTATACTTACAAATATTCCAAACCAGAAAAATTTGTTAATACATCATTTAATGTTTTTAAACTGCAATTACTCAGATCCAATCTGAAAATAAATATTTTATTTTTTGATATTTAATTTGATAAAAAAAAAATTAAATTGCTATTCAACACATACCCAATAATTCCTCTTGTACTATTACAACACCGCCCTTCTATAAGACTATCTTTACAATACTGTTCAAATTCTTTGAAATGTTTTTCAGTCGATGTTCCATCACAAATTTTGATAGAACACTAACATTATAAATAATAAAATAATTATTATGCATATAATCATTATAATTTACAGGGTGTTCCATCAAGACTGCATAAACTCTGCAGAGTGAGAATCATTCTTCGAAATACATAAAAATATGACCAAAGAACCATACCTCTACCATTCATAGTTTTTGAGAAAAATGCAAAAGCAGAAGTATGATGTCACATCTGATTCATGAAAAATAAGCTTTATTGGAAACACAAACATCGATACTTGCATATGACATTATGCTTAGATAGGAAGATGCTCAAAATGACCACTGCACATATAGAGGCATGCATGTGCACACTATAGAATGGCTGACTGCACACAATCCAGCATTGTATTGTCCACAAAAGCGAATGCAGCATGAAGACAAGCAACTAAGTTACTTTCTGTAGTCTTCAACAGTCACAATAACCACTCATGGTAATTGTGACTGTTGGCTAGAGTCCAATCCTCATGCAATCTGCTCACAGAAACATCATGTCCACTGGTCTGTAAATGTGTAGATCGGCATACTGAGAAATTGCATTACTGGACCATATCTGTTGCCTCAATGTCTCATGGGACATTCACACTTGGTATTTCTCCATGATGCACTAACTAATTTCCTCAATGACATATCCTTACCAGCAAAACATGACCTATGTTCCAGCAAGATGGAGCACTAGTACATTTCTGCTCTCCTGTACTATAGATTTGTGATTCTCAATTCATGGTCTGTTGCGGAACACATCAAGTGTTCTGCAAAAAAATCAAATATACAATTAAAAATTGTTGCAAAAGAAAAATCAATACAAAGTAAAATAATTTTTTTATGGGAATGTAATCAGCAAATGCCAATGCTGTCATCTACTAGACTTTTTGAAATCAAGTGTGTTTGATTTCAAAAAGGTTTGCCACCCCTGCTTTAAAACTGATGTATTGTAAGTGTTCTGCGAATAAAAATGTCAAAGTTTAGTGTTTCCCTTCAAAAAGATTGAGAACCACTGCTATAGATGATTGGTTGAATATGGAATACCCAGGTAGCTGGATTGAACATTAAGATCCAGTTGTGTGGCTGCCATGATTGCCAGATCTGCCACCTTTGAATTCCTATGAAGCCATCTGAAGGAATTGATATATTGAACCCCAGTTACTACAGAAAGCATCTTGGTTGCCATCTTCATGCTGTATTCACTTTTGTAGACAATACAATGCTGGATTCTGTGCAGTCAGTCATTCTATGGTGCATTTGCATGCCTTGATATTCATGGTGGTCATTTTGAGCATCTTCCATAATGTTGTATTCAAGTACTGATGTATTTGTGTTTCTAAAAAGCTTATTTTTCATGCACCGAATGTGACATCATACTTTTCCTTTTGCATTTTTCTCAAAAACTATGGATTGTAGAGGTATGGCTATTGGGTCATAGTTTTATGTATTCTAAGTGGAGATTCTTACTCTGCAAAGTTTATGCAGTCTTGATGGGACACCCTGTATATAACTAATCATAAGCTTAAAGTAAAGGTTATTTTGCTTAAAAATGAAACGTTTATTTTATGATTCAAAACTTATACATCTATATGAAATTATTCTAATTTTTCTTAATTATTTTATAGACTTTTTTAAAAATATACATTTTACTAATTTTCTTCAAAAGATTTTTTAATATTCTTATGAAACAATCAAATTACCCAATAAATTTTTTTTACAAAATTTTATGTGTAAGATTTTGAAATCTTTTTTGACAAAACTACAGAGAGAATTATTTCTATTTTATGAAATTTATTGCTTTAAAATGAATGACATCATTCTTCAGATTTTGAATTTCTTCAACGATTCTAGTTATTTGCATATTTAACAAACCAATCAAATTTTTATACAAAAATATGCAAAAAATTTGATTGGTTCATTAAAATTTGCATAAGAGCACAAACATTTAGAGTTCTGTGCTCTTATGCAATGTTGATCAAAAGTTGGTTCAAGCACAATTTAACGACACTGACCAATTTTAGTGGTTTGATCATCGTATCTTTAAGAGCTGTTGAGCTAGATCCCAAACGGTCATATAAAACATCCTCTTAGATATACATTGGGCTTGAAGCTTGGCAACCAATTATCAGATTATCAGCTGATAACTAGATATATGTCATTCCAACCACTTTGAAAAGTTCTTCAAGATAAATATTTACTAAAGCTCTTTGTGATTCCAAAATTATAAGCATTTATTATGGTCAAAACTTCAGAAAATTTTGGAAATATTTTCCTTAGACCCTAGAACAGAGAAAAAACAATTTGTGCAATAGTAATGAAACTTTGTAAGAATGATGCTGGAGATTATTTCCTAGATGGTACTTTTTTGTTTTTTGATATTGATCTTAATTCCTTAGTTAAATGCTTTAATGTAAAAACAATAATAAAAAAAAGCATATTGTGAAGAGCACTTAATTCTTTGCTAGAATCTGATGCTAGTATGTGTGCTAGCAACAGATTCTAGCATGAAAAAAGTGTGAAGTAGAAACTCAAAAATTTTCCAGTAGCTTATTTTCTTCAAAGCTTCAGGTTTAGCTCATGGTCAGGAAGATTAGTTATATGAGGAGCTAACATTCAAAATGTGTTTTATCACAGTTATTGAAAATTTAATAATAAACAAAAACTGTTCACAAGTTTTCTTTAAAAGATAATAATAGAATTTTTTAACCTCATTACTCTTTTTGTATATAAAACTCTTATAATAATATTTCAGAAATATTGAGAGGGAAAAACTTTTTAAAAATATGTTTGGAAGGAATGTACACATCACCTTTTGCTTGACAGATAATTGACTAAACACTTTGTAAAGAAAAAAGTCTTTTATTTACAAATAGTTATCATTACAGCATCCAGTTTTTTTAACAATTTCAAAGAAAAAATAGAAAAAAATCTGTTTTGCAAATGTTTAGATGTGTAAAGCCTGTTTAACAATCATGTTTTGCAATGCAGGAAACAGATGGATGCATTTTTGCATTGCAATCGCAAGTTTTTTACTTTGGCTGTCATTTCACAATCATATAAACTTGCATGATCAGTTTCCACAACTGATTTGTACTGAATTTTCTACTTCAAGCTATACTTGAAATCCAAATATTCCAAACCAATCAGAGAATAATAGAATCTTGAAGCATTCTGCTGAATGCAAGAGTGGGAAACACTCCAGTAAATAAAAATATCAGAACCTTCAGAGAGAATACTAGTAACAGAAATGGTATTAGACTCATTGATTTTGTTGTTTATAATAATCTTAAAATAATGAATATGTTTTATAATCATAAAAATATACATAAATATACTTGGCAATGACAGCAGTCCAAATCAATCATTGATTATTTTATTGCAAATGAAAAAAATGTCAAAATTATTCCTAGATGTCAGATCATATCAGATCATACAGAGGATTTGAAGTAGGCTCTGATTACTTCCTCACCCAAGCAAAATTAAGAATCCCAAGGTGGCTAAAAAAAGAAACCAAATATTAGATATGAACCTGAATGAAAATTTAAAGTAAAATTATTATATGATGATAGTATCAAATGGTTATATACTAAAAGAATTGAACAATATATGGAGAGAATTCCAGAAGACAGAGATATAGAAAATGAATGGGAAAATATCAAACCAATAATAAAGGCAGCACCCGATTCTGGGCACAGTAAAAGTCAATTCCTGTGGAAGAAAGCAATTGAAAATATGGGGCAATGAAATCAAACAACTAATAGTACAGAAAAACACAACATATGAAAAATTTTTAACTAGTAAAAAAGCTGAAGATGCAATAGAATATAAATGCTGCAGAGCAATTGCAAAAAGAGAAATAAGGAAAAGATGGTGACAATCATGGACAAAATTTATTTCACAACTAGAATCAGATCTCAACAAAATAAGACCAAATGCCTTCAAAATATTAAAATTAATAAATCAAGAAATTAAAGAACCCATTAACATTAATTGTGGTGTGACAAACAATCAGTTTCTTAATTATTATCAAACACTTTGGACAGATCCTACATATGCTAACAAGATTTTTAAAAACAATCAAAATAGGACTGAATTATCAAAGGAAGAACTATTTGAAAGTTTAACCAAAACAAAAAATGGAAAAGCAACAGGAGATGATGGCATAAATGGAGAGTTATACAAACATGCTGGTGATAAATTCCACAAGATATTATTAACATTCTTCAATAATATATACAGTAGACCCCCTATAACGCGGGTTCATATAATGCTGATTCCTATATTGCGGCGAAAAAATTGCAACCGTATTCATATAAAGACGCTAAAAGAGACTCGTAAAATGCAGTAAAATGTCATTGCCGACTCGTGTTGCGACAGGATTGGTCGAATCTGGACCAATAGTGGACGAGCAACTGAACTACTTACACGCTATGGAGAGTTTAGGCGGGTAAGTTGAGTTTACTATTGTCTATACAGTATATAGGCCTAAATTAGGTACTGTAAGTCTAATACAGTCCTGTAATTTTATACATTTCTTGTGAAAAAAACATTTCTTATTCAACGGCCATAAAAATTATTTCTATTAATGATGTCTCCAAAGTTCAATGAATTTTTCACAGAAAAATAACTTATCAGAAAATGCGTCCGCCGTTTGGTGCGCTGCTCTGCGACGAAAACAAGCTTAAGCAATAGCATGGTTGAACAGTGCACACTTGGTAAGTAATCCTACAATTTTTTGTTTATAGCATAGTTTATACGGATTATTCCCAAAAAATTATACGTGTTTTGGAAATATTGAGTGAAATTAGTCTAGAATCGATTAATTTTATGGAAGAAAATCGTTCAAACAGCCATAGTCCGTAAACTACACATGTGATGGGCTGTGATTGGCTCATGTATTTGAGGATTCCTACAACATGAAATTCTTATAAAGTGGAACATATCTACCACGTTATAGGGGGGTCAACTGTATATGAATAAGCCTGTATACTATTGAATGGAAGAAGAGTATTATACTACCTATTCATAAAAAAAAGATAAACAAAAATTAGATAACTACAGAGGCATTAACCTGCTAAATACCTGTTATAAAATCTATGCTAGAATTCTAAATGAATAATTAAAACAAGAAGGTCAAAAATTTTTTTCGGAATATCAAAACAGATTCCAAAAAGACAGATCTTGTATAAACTCAGCTTTCACCATTAAATTATTACTAGAGAAATAAAGAAAATTTAATCTGTATACACATTTAGCTTTCATAGATTATACCAAAGTTTTTGATATGATAAAAAGACCCAAACTTCTTGACATCCTACAAAACAGAAATATACCAATTATTTTACTTCAAAATATATGTAATATTTATGAAAATAATACCATACAACTTAAAGTTCAATAATGCCACTTCAGAATATAGAAGAATAAATCAAAGAGTAGAGCCTTGTCTTACTCCTTGATTTATTCTTCTATATTCTGAAGTGGCATTGTTGAACTTAAGTTGTATGGTATTATTTTCATAAATATATAGATGTCATAATATATATAGATATATATGATCTATATAGATGACATAATACATCAATGGCAGAAAGAATATACATTAGAAATTCAACTTCCAAACAACATAAAATTCAATACCATGCTATTTGCCGATGATCAGGTGGTAATTGCTAACTCTGAAGATAATTTACAAAAAGGTTTACGGTATGAAAATTTCAACTGCTAAAACAAAGTAATGACATTTAGAGGCACAGAGCCAATACACTGCAAAATCGTAATTGATAATACAATTTTGGAGCAAGTTAATAATTTTCTTTATCTAGGATGCAATATTTCTTATAAAGGTGAGAATGACATAAATAATAAGCTCACAAAATTTTTACAAATATTAGGAATAATAAATAACACTTTAAAACCACACCTTGTACAAAAACATTCCAGACTAAAATTATATGAAACTCTGGCTCTTCCAACTCTTCTGTACAGAAGTGAAATCTGGGTCTTAAAGAAGAAAGATATCAAAAGATTACAGGCAGCCGAAATGAAGTTTATGCGCCAAACCGCTGGATATATGCTCCTGGATCATCATCGAAATGAGGATATTTTGTAGCAACTCCACGTGGCCATTAATTGAAAAACTCTCCATATATAGAGAAAAATGGCTTCAACACATATCATGAATGTTGCCAGGTAGGATACTTCATGCAATTTTACAGTATCAACCACGAGGACGACGACGACCTGGACGTCCACAAAAACGACTCCTAGACCCTGTCTAACTGAGACTGAAACAGGTCAACAAGGCCTAATTTGTGAATAGTGTATGATGATGATAAATTCATATAAAAATTATTCAAAGAAAATTTAACATACTATTTCAATTTCAAATATGAGAGACTGACTAATTTAAACAATAAACTTATTATATTTACAGTTATAGATACATAACAACTATTTTAAACTTAATTAATAATATATTTAATCTATTATAATTTAATGCAATAGTCCTTGAATTGACTATTGTTATTAACATGATAAACTTAATGAGTCTACTGTTACCAATTGTTAAATTTGATTAATGTTTAATCAAAATTATTTATCAAAGAGATAATATTTTATTTCATTTAATTATGATTGAAAATCTTATAATAAAATAAAACTATTTGTTATTGCATTTTTGTTCTTTGATTAATTTCCATCCAAAAAGCTTGTCTTGTTCATCTGACCATTCTGCCTTTACTATGTCTTCTAATTTAAGATGTTTATCCTTCATGTAAAATGAAGGATAACGTTTAAAGGATAAAGTTTAATGTCTTCTACCCCCTAGTTTTTGTGAAAGCTTTTGATGTTTTATGTTTGTTATTTGATTATTCATGATATTTTTATATTTATTCCAACTTCTAAAAGGTGATTTAATCATGCCTACATTAGGATGAGTAGATTTTATGTTGTCCATATACACAGGGTGTCATAACATTTATTGTTTTGATAAAATGGCCAGGACACTAAAAACAAACTTAAAAATTTGTTTATAAACTTTTTAATAAGACAATATATTAAAAGTGTCTTTATTTTGTCCTTTCTGCACACCTCAGATAATAAGTCTTATGATGCAGTCAACCTTTCTTTAGAGGCTTCCCATCTGCCTCAATATGTAAAATGTCAAATTCGTGCTCTGGTGATGGCACAATGAAAAAAATATATTTGATATAAATGATAACAATTTGTGGTTATTATAACCATAAGTAAGCTAATTCTACTGTATATACATAAATGTACTGTATACATTATTTTAATTGACTTTAAATTAATATATTCAATCTATATTGTTAATATACTTAGATAAGATTAATTTGGAATGTAATCTTGTGTTTTGTTTCATATTAGTATTTTGATTTTTGTTCAATTCTCAAATATTATCAAACATTATCTATGTCAAAAGAAAAACTAAAAATCATATCTACGTATCTAAATACATTGTTTTGTAGATAATTTAAAAGCTAAATTTGATCTTTGTCTATTGAAAATTGATAAAGAATATTCCATTAAATAGTAATCTACTCTAAATTTGTTTTCTGATTAACAAGAACAAAGTTTAATGTCTTTTTACTAGTTAAAATTGTATAAAACCAGTACTGTAACTAGATAGGCCCTTGTTCCCTTTATCTTTGTAAATAAATAAATGAAGGAAAACTCAAATAATTACAGAAAAAATATTTGAATGTAATCTTGAAAAAAAGTGACAAATGTACTTGTGTATGTGTACAGGATGGTCATAAAGTAACTTGACTAACTAATGTCAATTGTGGGAGTGCAGAAAACAGAATCTATTGAAACTTTTGCAGGATAAGTATAAGGTGACATACTCATAGTAAACAAAAATAGGTATAGAACACACATTACAGTTATGAATAATATAACCATAATTTGAAAATTTCCAATACAAACACTAGGAATTTAAAAAGTCATGAGATTTTGCACGACAGAAAACAGCATAATGCATTGGAATGGTTTGCATAGAACAAAAAACAACAGAGATATTGGTGTTTGAACAATGGAAAGCAAGTGAGCCAAGACCCACAACAGAAGACCCATACAAATTCACAGATGCATTGGCAGCATTGTCGCTGAAACTTACTGTGACATCAGCTGTGGGGTATAAAAGCATCTATCTATAGAATTCAATAAAGTGCACAATATTGTATTTTCTTCCTCATCTATGAACAATTACAGGTCTTGGTTCACCTCCTTCACATTCTTCAAACACCAATATCTCTATTGTTTTTCATTCTACACATACTGTTTCAACACTTTATGCTGTTTTCCATCATGCAGAATCTCATAACATTGTGAATTCCTGGTGTTTGTATTGAAATTTTTGGGTTATTGTTATATTAAACATAACTGTGACACATATTCTACCCCCTATTTTCACATATCGTGAATGCATATCACTCTGTACTTGTCCTGAAAAGTTTCAATGGATTCCTCACTTTCTGCACTACCGAGATCACTGTTATTTCACAAGTTACTTTATGAACACCTTATATATATACAATATGTAACAGTTGACTCTTCATCCATAGTAGTTTAGAAGTAAATGTAGGTTTGCACATTTTAGTGCAGTCCCCCTAATACAATTGTAGTTTCACTACCACATAAAACTAATAATACTTATAATATAAGTTTCATAATTTTATTGTCTTTGTTACCATTGAATTTAGTATTGTATTTGATCTTGAAAGAATTTTAAGACAAATGTAAACATTTTTTTACTGCCTGAAATACTATAGATATGTCTTAGAATAAAAGGCATCTTACATTTGCAATTCAAAATAATCACAAATGTATTTGTGATTATAATATTTTTGTTCCAACAACAGAATTTTTGACTATACTATGACTTTGACATTCTCACATGCAATCCTTCATGAGATATTTGCCACCAAAGGTCAGTTTTTACCATGAACCAGTATACTGTCTATTCTCCACGCTCTGTGTCAGTGCTGGCTATTGCTCACTCCCCAGTGCCTGTGTGGATGCAAGCCTCCACACCCCCGAAACTATATAACATCGAATATTCCACAAACATCAAGCGAGCCAAAGCCGGCATAAGCTAAATATTGATAGTTAAATGCTATAGTCTTAGGGAGACCCTAAAGTAGACCAATTTTGAGGGGTCATATTTTGCAATGAATCACACAGAGGTACAGTTCCTTCGACGTTCTCCTACGGATACGGTCCATAGCTCCGACAAGGTCCCAACCATCCCATTCAGATGTGTAATTGTACCAATTATTTACAACTTGTGACTCAAAAACGTCCCATGTACAAGTTGTAAATAATTACCCTTTGTTTGCAACATATTATTGACTCATTCTTTTTTAAACTTATTACATAAATGGTCTTAAACATTAAATAAAATCTCAAGTATATATAATGAATTCTACTTACCTCTGAAGATCCATGTACATTTAATAAATTAACAAAAAAAATTAGTAAATAAAACAGTTGACTCATAGTTCTGGTATCATTAACTTTTGGTTGACAACTGAATATCTTATCTGTACACAACTTTGAGAACTTCTACGCTCTTATCGTATTCCTAAGTATATTTATATCTAATTAATATAATTTGACTTCCATTATTGAGTAGTTACATAATTACAATAACATTTTAAAGGTATAAAAATCCAATATGTAACGACTCCTCTCCTTTTTAGCTTAATTAAATTATTGCCTTGCTTACTTTTAAACTTCATATATTGACCGCTAGAGGCGATAGTTACGATCGGCTTTAATTTTCGTCAGTAACGAAGCCGATATTAAATATTAATTTAAATTTATTTAGAATTTATCCAATTAAATTACTTTTTAAAGTTAGTTTTTATATAAATTTTCACATAATCTAAAGAATATACAATTTTTTTTTTTTTTTTTTAATTTTTGACTCCGCTCTGAAGACAATACCGATATTCGCGACCAAGGATCAAGAGTTTGAGTTAGAAGTAACCAATAAACATTCACGTACTAAAAGTAAAATGAATGGTAATTGGTTAACTTTTAACTCTAACTCTTGATCCTTGGTCGCGAACACGGCCGTAAGAGAGGACATTTTATTCGTACCCATCATGGGTTTTCCAAGTCCGCAGTGGAAGCGGTCCGTGAGAGATCGCTATTGAAAAATTCCAGAGACCCCTGACTAGGACTCGAACTCGGATCCTCTAGAGCAGGGCTTCTTAAACTATGGGTCGCGACCCCATTTGGGGTCGCGAGATTTTAATGCAAAATATTGAAAATAATTTGTGACAGCTTGAAAATGGCACGCTTTGTGTCATAGGTTTCGTGAGTTGCGCGTTGTGTCACTTCTGGTGCAGCGAGACAACGATTCAGCAACACTGATTGTAGTGTAAACTAGTGTAATATTGTCGCTTTTCAGTGTATTCAGTTGTCTTTGTTCCATTGTAACACAAGAGTGAACTGTGGTAGTACACCATTATTGTTTCTGCAAATTTGTATATATCTTTATTTTATATTTTTGGGTCGCGAAAAAAATCACAATCATAAATGAGGTCATGAATAAAAAAAAGTTTAAGAAGCCCTGCTCTAGAGCACCTTCACCACTTCGCAACCGTCACAGCAGCGTGTGAACAATTATTATTGTTTATTTCTACAGTTTATACTTTTTAAAATTAACTCCTCCTATGATCTTCCTTTGCATTTGATACAAAACTTGTTTAATAAATAAAATACTCTACTTGAGCTATGGTTTACAAAAACAATTGGCTCAATCTCTGTAACGAGCGTTTCCAAGTATGCCTGTTTCCATGTATTCTCATTATTCTTCCGAAAGATTGGAAGCAATAAAATTTACGTGTACGCAGTATTCGACAGAGGTTGCTCGGCTAGACATACAAAATTTTTGCTGCTTTGTGTATTGCTTAGTCGGAAATATGCAAACGAAGGATGCTATAAAATTTTATGTAGTCTCTCCGTTGTTCAAAACGCGAAAAATGGCAAAGACAAGTAGAACTGAAAGTACGTTATAAGATCCCCCAGAAACAACAAAATGGAACAGCTATCCGAATTCAAGAACAATTCCAGATTACTCGGGAATTGTTTAAATGAATCTACTCTCAGATACGACGAAGAAACCGGTTTTATCGCACCATGATAAAATAGAATGTTAGGTTATTCTATTAAGAGATTTCAGAAAGAAATCAAGAAATACTTAAAGCACACATTAAAATATCAATATATCTTTTTAAATTCAATTTATTGGCTAATAATCTTGATAGTAATTTCTGAAAATTTTCAGTCATTTAGATCGTTTTCAATTTTCAGATTTTGTTCATTTACCCATTCACTTACATACTTGGTCATTAACGCTCGTCTACACGATCAAATTTCTTACCTCTAAACACTGAAATCAAGAAAATTTAAAAACAATATTCTGCCTACACGATTATATAGAACTGTACAGTACTTTCGAGATTCAATAAATAAACATCATTTGACGTGCTTATCTACATCATACAATAGATATTTGCAGATGACAATATTGGTTTCTCTCCAGGTTTTGTAGTTTAAATATGGCGCCAAAAAGTAGCAAGTTATGAGAAATGCAACAACTTTAATCAATACACAGTTGATGTCGATAGGATCCTTTCTGGGATTTATAAATTTGAATATTAAATCGAATATTGATTTCTCAAAGTACTTTTTAATTCTTGTGGAATAACTCAGAATTGCTTGTCAATGCTGAGCTACTCCATACATTTATTCCTTTTATAATAATAACTAAAAGATGTGTTTTAGAGGTTAGACATAACTGATACTCAGTTTTAAGCTTTCTCAGGTTCTTCTCAGTCCAAACTGACAATTTGTGTGACAAAAGTGCTTATCTGGATTGGATGAAGCCTTTCAAGATCTTGAATCTAGTAGAAGAGTATTCTACTTTAAAATTCTTGAATTCAAGAACTTTGAAAGGTCAAATAGTCTACATTATCAAAGTGAATTGATGGAAATCCACAAAACCTTTTTATAACAGTGTTGTGTCTGTAACAATCTTCACTAACATTTTCGACCTCCACCGAGGTCTTCTTCAGGTGGTGACTACATGGTGTATGGGTGTGACTAAACAGATGGCGACTAAATGGATACCATTTAGTCACCACCTGAAGAAGACCTCGGTGGAGGTCAAAAACGTTAGTGAAGATTGTTACAGACACAACACTGTTATAAAAAGGTTTTGTGGATTGTTATTACTCAACACAGTATTAAGATTAAAAGTCGTTTTGTGTTAAAGTGGGTTGAATTCAAGAAATTTGATCGTGTACAACATGCCTTTAGATCTGTGGTTTTTCACCAATTTTTACTAAATTTCATTATGTTTATTTTGAAGTCTATTATGATAAATAACAATGTAAATATATATCTATTATGATAAGTCTATAACGGGTTTGTCCAAACTTTTTTTAAACTCTTTCCAGTCTGTAAACACTACAAGGCCATCCTTTTTCAAAGTCCATTATGAATTTTACCAGACCCACAAGGGACATTCAGAGGTAAGAAATGGGGACCAACAATTCTGAAGGTTTATAACCTGGGCTTGAACCTGGGTCTTCACTGACACCTTTATTGACTTGGTATTGGCAGTTTTTAGTTAGTTAGTTAGAAAAAACAGGAGTTATTTATCAGCACTAATTACGAAGATTATGGTGAATGATTATTATGCAATTTTTTGAAAATTAAATAAACATATTAAAAACAAATTATTTTTATTATTATTTATTATAAATCAATAAAATATATTTCATCTTTNAAAGTAAAATTCCTACTAATATTTAATTTGATAAAAAAAAAAATTATAACTTATGAGGTTATGACGTCAGGTATGACAACATAATTGACGTCGTATTAAGTACCATGAACAAAAATAATTTACGATAAATATTTTATTTTTTGATATTTAATTTGATAAAAAAAAAATTAAATTGCTATTCAACACATACCCAATAATTCCTCTTGTACTATTACAACACCGCCCTTCTATAAGACTATCTTTACAATACTGTTCAAATTCTTTGAAATGTTTTTCAGTCGATGTTCCATCACAAATTTTGATAGAACACTAACATTATAAATAATAAAATAATTATTATGCATATAATCATTATAATTTACAGGGTGTTCCATCAAGACTGCATAAACTCTGCAGAGTGAGAATCATTCTTCGAAATACATAAAAATATGACCAAAGAACCATACCTCTACCATTCATAGTTTTTGAGAAAAATGCAAAAGCAGAAGTATGATGTCACATCTGATTCATGAAAAATAAGCTTTATTGGAAACACAAACATCGATACTTGCATATGACATTATGCTTAGATAGGAAGATGCTCAAAATGACCACTGCACATATAGAGGCATGCATGTGCACACTATAGAATGGCTGACTGCACACAATCCAGCATTGTATTGTCCACAAAAGCGAATGCAGCATGAAGACAAGCAACTAAGTTACTTTCTGTAGTCTTCAACAGTCACAATAACCACTCATGGTAATTGTGACTGTTGGCTAGAGTCCAATCCTCATGCAATCTGCTCACAGAAACATCATGTCCACTGGTCTGTAAATGTGTAGATCGGCATACTGAGAAATTGCATTACTGGACCATATCTGTTGCCTCAATGTCTCATGGGACATTCACACTTGGTATTTCTCCATGATGCACTAACTAATTTCCTCAATGACATATCCTTACCAGCAAAACATGACCTATGTTCCAGCAAGATGGAGCACTAGTACATTTCTGCTCTCCTGTACTATAGATTTGTGATTCTCAATTCATGGTCTGTTGCGGAACACATCAAGTGTTCTGCAAAAAAATCAAATATACAATTAAAAATTGTTGCAAAAGAAAAATCAATACAAAGTAAAATAATTTTTTTATGGGAATGTAATCAGCAAATGCCAATGCTGTCATCTACTAGACTTTTTGAAATCAAGTGTGTTTGATTTCAAAAAGGTTTGCCACCCCTGCTTTAAAACTGATGTATTGTAAGTGTTCTGCGAATAAAAATGTCAAAGTTTAGTGTTTCCCTTCAAAAAGATTGAGAACCACTGCTATAGATGATTGGTTGAATATGGAATACCCAGGTAGCTGGATTGAACATTAAGATCCAGTTGTGTGGCTGCCATGATTGCCAGATCTGCCACCTTTGAATTCCTATGAAGCCATCTGAAGGAATTGATATATTGAACCCCAGTTACTACAGAAAGCATCTTGGTTGCCATCTTCATGCTGTATTCACTTTTGTAGACAATACAATGCTGGATTCTGTGCAGTCAGTCATTCTATGGTGCATTTGCATGCCTTGATATTCATGGTGGTCATTTTGAGCATCTTCCATAATGTTGTATTCAAGTACTGATGTATTTGTGTTTCTAAAAAGCTTATTTTTCATGCACCGAATGTGACATCATACTTTTCCTTTTGCATTTTTCTCAAAAACTATGGATTGTAGAGGTATGGCTATTGGGTCATAGTTTTATGTATTCTAAGTGGAGATTCTTACTCTGCAAAGTTTATGCAGTCTTGATGGGACACCCTGTATATAACTAATCATAAGCTTAAAGTAAAGGTTATTTTGCTTAAAAATGAAACGTTTATTTTATGATTCAAAACTTATACATCTATATGAAATTATTCTAATTTTTCTTAATTATTTTATAGACTTTTTTAAAAATATACATTTTACTAATTTTCTTC